CCGAAGAAGATAATTCCCACTCTTTTTCTTACTTCGCCTTCGGGATTCCTCGTCAGCTACGAAGTTATCCTTGGAGCTGATATAAGAAGCGAAGATCCAAAGATTCTTTTTTTCACACCACTGCCATGTTTCTCTCGCTAGTCGACAGAGGTTTGGAAACTGAATGCTTCCCATTCTATTAATGTACGATATGGCCGTGGTGTTATCGCATCTTACTAAAATATTATGATTCCTAAGATTACGAGTGTAACATTGTAACGCATAAAAGATTGCTTGAAGTTCCAGGTAATTTATGTGTCGGTCTTTAAGCGAATCTGTCCAAAAACCGTGCGTCTTACTCATCGTTCTGAATGTTATTATCCACTAGAAAGATATTGTTTGTCTACCATAAAATGTCAGGTAACGCACTCTCTGGGATCGGCATAATCGCGTTATAGTTCAGGTTATGGTTTTGAAGGGCTAAAAACTTTGCCCTTTCCAGAGACTTCGTATAAAGAAAGCCGTACTTTACCGCCGGACAACCCGAAACTAAAATGCCAATGAACTTTGCAAATTCTCTAATCCTGCACCTTTTGCGTGTTAACAGGTTTGAAGCTAAAGAAAAACACCATACTTTCTCTTTTCTCTGTTGGGAGTGTCACCTTCAAGGCACTATCTATTATAAAACCCAAGAACTTTTTGCTCTTACTGGGAATTAAATTACTTTTATCATAGTTTACTAAGAAACCCAGAGATTCTAATAGTTCTAAAGTAAGCGCCGTATACCGGGTGCATTCTTGGAAGGAGTTTCCATAGATTAAAAAGTCATCCAAGTAATTAACTATTGGAATATTCACCGACCGAAGATATGTGATCACTGGTTTCATGTTTGGTAAAATTGTAAGGCGCTGACCTTAAGCCAAACGGAATACGGGTGAACTCGTACAATTTGCTTTCAAAGTAGAAGCTCAAAAATTTTCGAGATTCTTGATGTATAGATATAACGTAAAACCATAGTATGGTAAAACGTAGTATGCCTCTTTAAGGTCAATGGTGGTCAAAAACAATCTTGGCGGACGAGTTTTAACGCCGTTCTTAGATCTTCCATTTTAAAATGGGGAGATTCTACGCAAAGGTTAAGCTTCTTTAGATTTAAAATAAACCTTTTATCTCCGTTTGGTTTGTCCGCTAGAAAGATGCTGGAGACAAACTGAACTGCACATGGTTTACAAGCCTCGGTTACCTTGCGATTAAAAAGGTCGTTAATGGCCGAACCTAGTAAGGCGGTTTCAGAAGTAGAAAAAGAACTCGTAAAAGCGGCTGTGTTAACCGGAGGGGCCAATAGAAAAGGTATTTTGTACCCTTCGATCCAAGACAAAATTGATGCATCACCTTTTTTTTGCCAAATAATTATTAGTGTATTAGTTTAGTTTACTACAGTAGGCAATTTTTCAAAATTTCAAAATTTTTTTTTACTTCAAAACTACATTTTTTTCAACACTAACCACTTTGCTCCGGTCAAACTTACAGATCATATCAACCATACATAAATAAAGTAAATTCTAAAGCGGTAACGCTTAATTACAATTAGGGTGCTAATTAAGGGGTGATTTCCTCAATTTTTTTACCAAAAAAAGAACCAACTTTATTTTGAGCGTAACTCACTTAGTTTTGATACTAGGAACTTTTCTTAAAAACAAAATGAAAGGTTTTTTCAAACACTTTAAAAAAAGTATTCATAGGTTTTCCCCGAAAAGTGCTTCATTTTTTGGTTATTTCACGTTGAAGTACTCGATTTGGAATTTGACGAATGAGAACCTACTTTTCATGAGCTACAACTTTGTTTCTACTGGGTCTATAGACTTCATAGGTATATAGACCATTTTGTTTGTTTTTTTATAAGCTATATTTTTGCTAAGAATACTTTTTTCGATACAATACTTACTTTTAGAGTTGTTTGCGAAAAACCGTCTGAAAACGTGTTTTTTTTTGTTGAAAAATGAACATTTTCACTCGCAATTAACTCGAATACTATTGACTTAGTGAAAAAACTCTAGAGAACAAAAGTTGCTTAGAATTACTCAATTTATCAATTTTCGGACTTATTTTGAACGTATTCACGCCCCAAGTAAAAGCAACCCTGGGCTCAAGTTCACCTTTGAAGTAGAGGGTAAGAGGAACCTAAATCCAAATTTTGAAGCAAATCCGTCGAGGCGCGAAAAATTACACGGCAAAACGGTCATTTACTGGCCTATGAAAGACATGCTGTAACTCATCAGTTTAAGAGGCCGTTCTCTGCATACGACTAGGAAAGCGCTTCAATAGAAATTATATGGGATGGGTCGAATAGCGTGTCTAGGTGTGGGACTTAGTATAACATTTTGAGTAAATTGGATTCTATACCGTGTTGTTAGGTGCCGATGTAAAGATAAAGGACACATCTATGCCTCTATTGTAACAGATTTTTGATTTAATACTCAAATTTTGCATAAATAATTGTAGAAGTACTTGATATTTATGGTATTTTCGGGTGCCGTAATTATTAATATTTAAAAAATATCAAAAATCTGTTACAAGAGAGGCGTAGAAAAAAGGTTTTAGAATCAAACATGACTTTGTTGATGCTAACTAACACCGTTTTCGAAAAAATCGCTAAGAGCGGAGCCTAAAAATGCGTAACTATTTCATGCGCGTGACCGCCTCTTAATATAATTAAATAAATCACCGGAAAATAGTTCACTCGTATACCTCGTACCTTCCTACTTATAAGATTATACGCCTGAAACCTATCAAGCTTTCTAATTGTATGGAAATTGGAAATCACGCACGGATCTAGCTTGTATTTTACAGCTAATAAGACGCTGCTAATCTCATTGTAAAAGCTCTATTGTTCAATCTCGGTAAAGTAGATTAGTAATTACCATTCTATTTGAGCTCGTGAAGGCGCTATATTAGTTGCAATTATTAGTCCTTCAGATTGACTTTGTCTTGTACGCGTTCGGGGTTCCCTTGTTCCAGTCGTCACCCCTACATATATTTATAAGCCAATCTTTATACGACTGTGCATGTCAGATACGAAAATCCCATTAAGACATACCGATTAAATTTATGTATTTCCATATGGGGTTTTGACAAAGCGACTAACAAAACTTTTACGCCAAGGTTAGAGGTAACAGTAGGAAAAAATAACATGGAAGGTATACTGGGTGCCTATCAATGCACCTAGAAAAATGTTTTTCAAAATAGCGGTTTTCGAGATATTGATATCAACTTCATTATTTTAAATGGACATTATACAGGTATATACAGTGTTAATTATTGTCATGCAGATATTTCCGAAGATACAGGAGGTGATAGCACTCGTTAAAATAAAAAAAATGGAAATATGTATGTGGTCTAAAGGCCGTCATTTTCGATATACAGAGTGACAAAGTTTCAATTTTTTCTCGTATTTTATTATTATTATTAATTGTTTCAAAAACTTGATATATCACTTAAAAATAAAAGCAAATAAATAAAAAATAAATAAAAATTATTTTTTATAATCTCTCCAATAAAGCATCAAAACCATCAAAATCACGTTAGCCCCCCACTTTTTGAATTTTCAAAATATTTTTATTGCAATCGTTTGTTGGTGTTTGTTAGTTACATTTTTACGTTTGTTGGTTGATCGTTACTTAATTATTCAAAATTCAAAAATTTGGGCGTATAGTTGGCCCCCCCACTTTTTGAATTTTCAGAATATTTTTTTGCAATGGTTTTCTGGTCGTTTGTTGGTATTTCTTAGTTACATTTTCACGTTTGTCGGTTGATCGTTATTTAATTATTCAAATTTCAAAATTTAGACGTAGAGTTTTCGCCTTAGTGCTGATGTGGGCACAATCGACATAGTGTCCGTCGGCGTAGTGTCCCTAGTCGGCGATATGGACCATAAAAAAATCTGGTCGGCGTTGTGGGCATTCGGCGAAGTATCCTAGGCCCTTAAATGACTGCGTGCGACATTAGATGTGGCCAAAGAAGAAGAAATTAAGTATTTTTGTCTGTATCTGTATAATATAGAGTACAGCAAGAACTTTGGGATTTAGGTATTTTCGAGGGTATTTTAGATGATTTGCATAAATAATTAAGGATAAGGAAGTGTAGGGACTATCCTTAATCTTTAATAGTACGTACCATGGCGTATTAGGCCATGGTACGTACTACCACCCACCAACTTTCAACAAACGATTACTGTTTCTAAAATAAATAAACAATTAAAATATTTTGAAAATTCAAAAAGGGGGGGGGGGTAACTTGATGCCGGTAGCATCAAAATAGTTGGTCTCGGTATACAGGGTGTTACATTTTTCTTTGCCATCCTGTATAAGGAAGGCGACGGCTGTTAGACCATTGAATTTATAACTATCAGACCATGCATATATGACTATATGTATTTGCATTTTTTTTATTTTGACGAGTAGTTTCAGCCCCTGAAATATCTGCATGACATTAATTAACAGGCTGTATCGAGGTTAATATTTAAAACAGTTATTATCAGCAGACGCAGCGTAATTCGTACCGCGCCTAGCAGTCAATGTCCCCCTAATTCCAATTCAGCGGAGTTGAAGATTAGGTTATTTGTAGGTTTAAAAAAGGTTTAAAATTGTGTTCCCACATTTTTTAAAGCAACGTTGTACAAAAATGGTATAGTTATCCGAAGGGATAACGAGTCTGCTATTTACGATTATTTCTCCCGTGTACGGATTTTTACGTTCGTGGTCCGTCAGTCATTATTCCCTTAAACTTGAGTAATTTTCGCGCCCCTTCTTGTCTGCAACGTAAGCGGTGGGCTACACGGCTTACACAACTTACGCCTAAAGCCGGCCCTGGTGTATGTTGTCGGACAACCTGTCGGGCACGGAAATGAAACTATTTATGATGCTTGTTGCATGCAGACTCGTGGAGTGGAAAATTTCGTTATTCAATGGTCAAGTTGATAATGATAGGCAACTTTCGCTGCATACAAACCTGACGTGCTTGTTGCTTGTTGAAGCAAGATGAGTGTAGTGCGAGACAGGAAATGTTATAGAAAGAGTGCAAGCACAAAGAAGAAAGAACATCGTTCCGTTCTCCCACAAAATATAAAAATGTTGTTTTGTTTTGGTTTGAAAAATTCAATTTGTATCGGGGTGTATTTCAATTAAAACTATTAATATCGTTGCATACGTGAGTGAGTGACTAACACTTGCCTGTTCTTCCGTTTGTGGGAATATCATTATAGGTAAGAAGTATCTATAATTGAATGTACCTAACCTCACACAACCGGTAAATGTTCATTTTGAATTTTGAACGTCAGTTTATTATTTGCGCCATAAATGTCGTAGTCTAGAGCTACTGTTGCGCATTTGTGTATGTTCTATTTTTCCGAGGGCGGAAATTCAAGATTATTACTATCTAATTCCTTTGTAGTTAAATCATCATATTAAAAATGTTGGACAGTTTGGTATTTTCGCTGTAGCTTTGCCGGTATGTCGTTAGCGCTTAATTTTTGAAGACACGTTCTTTACTTTTTCTAACTTATGTATATCATTGGGCATTTTTGAACACCCCGAGCAATTCACAAGTAAACAAGGCTATTAACCATTGAAGATGAGATTTGAACTATACTGTGGGCATTCCTAATTACAAACCGGCAAAGCTACAGCGAATATACTTATATAAAATGCCCAATAAAATAAGGAACACAGACAATAAATAAATTTATTTTAAATTGCTACTAAAAAAGACCAGTCCAATAGGTACCACAACCACTGAATACTGATATGTACTCACGAGTGTACTCATCTCCCTAATTAGTGCAGCGGAGAGACCCGCGAAATCGTTCAAAACATTTTTTCGGAGTAGAAAGAATTGGGATGGGACCCATTCCATTTTGTTCAGAAATGTTTGAACCTTTAGAATCTCGCTTTACGACATTTTCCCGTGATCCTGACAAAAGTTATAGGCCGCTAAAGTTGAACCATTGAATTTATATCTCAATGGTTGAACTTTACTCATTTTCGCGCGCGCGATTAGACCACCGAAAGTATTTTTCTCAGCAACTAAGCGATATACATCAATAATTCCTTTTGTAAAATGAAAGTACATTTATAGCAAAATCTAAAGTATTCATATTTATTTACCTACCTTGTTATGCACAATTTTTAGAAAAATGGCCGTCAACTTCCAAAATTCGTGTAGCAGATGAAAAGTGCGCACTTTGAACTATCATAACTTTTTATTTCACGATATCGATTTTCAATATTTATAGCTCATTCAATGCTCCAAAGCATTGTTATTATTTTATTTTCTATATCATTACCGTGAACTTTTCGTAATAAAAAAGTTACGGTCATTTAAGTAAAAATCCAAGGATGCTATATAATATAAGGATTGCTCGATCCCTATACTTGCAATGTTGCCCGCGTTTAATTCATATGTGACGTCACAAACGGACCTGTCAGAATTGACAGTTATAATTTTGCTAAGTTGTCAACGTTGTTGCATTAGCGTTATAACCTCGGTTATAACTGTCTGTCTCGCTGTGTGTATTAGTGTTCGCCATATTGCAATAAAAATGCTTAGACGCCGACGTACAGTATTGGACTGTAATAACAATTTGGGGTGGTATTCACATTTTACATTCAACTGGCGCTCATTTTAGCCAGTGTCAAAAAGAACGTCGAGAAATCGTTATTTTAAGATGGACAAAGTTTAAATAAACTGATTTAGCTGCAATTTCCATGGATGAAAACCAAAAACGCAGGATGAAATGGATTCACTTTTTGAGTATGCGAAAAACCGAAGGAGAATTTGTAGACTTGTAGACGATGAATGACAAATGTTTCTAATTTAAATATCTACCTATAACATCCATTTGGACGTATTAGAGCCCCTTCTTACCAGGCGTTTTTTGAAGCGGCTGGAAGCCTGACCCCTCGCCTGACCCCTTCACACGGTGCGATTTGCAGCGCCACAAGTAGCACGAAGCGATTTTCAGAAGCGCGTTCACGCAACAAAAGCGCACGTACCAAGCAGGGGCGTCGTTTTTTTAAAAAATGGTGTCTGGTTTGAGGAGAGTTGATTTACATCATTTACCGTAGTAAAGAGCGTACATATTTGTCTACTGATATTTTGTACAGGGAGATCAATAATCATATGCTGCGCCGCTCTTATAAAATATCACATTAGTAATCATTTGCCGCAACCAGGTATATGTGTACCAATACAAAACATAACCTATAATTTTACAAACCAAAACCATGATTTGTGATTTTTATTCGAATACTTTGGTCCCTTTCAAAAAGGCTTTTTTCAAGACTACCAGTTTCTTTCGAATATTTACAAGGTGGGTAAATTACTTGTAAATTACAAACAAACGTTTTTTTAGTTGTAGCGTGTAATAGGCAATAGGTTTACTCCGACAAGCCTTTTACTTTAGAAGAGAATAAGATGCGTTTGCTGTCCTGTTTCCGTAATGGGACTAAAGACGAAAGTGGAGTTTGGGAGTACTCGATACGTTTGTGTATACAGGAGTTTCGATAAACGATTGTCAACCATGACGAGGATTACAGCAATATACGCCGAAATGCTCATCGCTTACTTGAGCGGTTTAACATACAGGAAGTCTTGCTTCTGGGAAGTCACCTGGCCGCTTAGTGATTGCTAATAAGGAGGTTGTAAAAGATGCTCTTGCTCGTCTTGAGCAAAGTCGGAAAAAGCAGCTGCGACAATGTGTCCCACTAACGGGCATCTCATACGGAACTTGTGACGCTATTGCCTGGAGAAAATTGTACTTCTATCCTTTAAAGTAACCGTGTTACAAGAACTCATCGTCCAGACTTGCAAAGCCGTTTAAATTATTGCATGCAAATTTACGAGATGGCAACGTATTCGAAATCGTTTACACACCATTGCCGAATTCCGAGCAGGTATAGAAGCTGCCGTTTGAAACATTACGCAACAGCACTTACATGCCGGCTTCGAAAACATGAAGAAAAGAGCGAGTCCCTGTCTTAATAATGGTGGCGAGCACTTCGAACAGTTGTTATAGTGTGCATGTAATTTATCCAATTACTTCGATATTAACGAGTTGTAAAAGAAATAAAATCGTTTCAATTTTTGTAGTAATTTGCTATTCGTGTAGTTCCACATAATTTGGAAACTTACAAGGTGGTTAAATCGTTGATTTAGGTTAAATATGGTTAAACGTCAAAAGTTTACTTTAAGGTTATGTTTTAGTATTGGTGCACCAGGCCTGTTGCGGCAAATGATTACTAACGTCATAATTTATTGAAGCGGCGCAGCAACTCAATATTGATCGCACTGTATATAAAGCTAAGTTTGTTATGTTTAAGATTGATATGTGGGGGTTGTAGTTCGACCTTTGAAGGAAGGCGAAACCGTATTAGGCTAAACACTGCATATTGTGTGGTAAAAACCATATTGTAGCACGGTGTGGCAAACTCCAAAGTTACAGAAAGTAACAGAAATTGTACAGAAGAGACTTGTAATCAATTTCAGTTCGTACTCATCTGAGAAATAAAGTTAATTTGTGAGGAATGGATCTCCTCATAACCGTATCTTTTTTTCGAAGAAAATTTCCACTCTGCAGCGTTTCAAAAACGCATAGTGAGAAGGAGCTCTTAGAATCTTACATAATGTAAAATACAAATATTCTAAGAGCCCGCGACGCAAACCATTACCATTCAACTAGCAGCATAAAACCGAGCATAAAACGTATACATGAACACGTATTAGAGGTCCCAATACACGAAACGCTCGGTCGGTCGGACCGCATTTAGCCGGAAGGTAAACAAATTCAATTGTTTATTTGTATATTTCATAAGAAATCATTACTTTTAAGAAAAGCAGATCATATGTGGTACCAAATTAAAGCTCTTGACGTCAGCTGCACAAATAACTCGGTCTGTCGGCAGGCAAATAGCCGGAAGTCCTTGACAGACCGACATTTAATCTGCTGCTAGAAGCCGACATTTCATTTATAACTCTCGCCAGGAAAGATTGCCGGTCACAGCACACCTTGTGTCAATTTACAATCTATGTTTTTCTTAAGATGCGAGCGACTTTCGGAATAGGATCGTGCCAATGTTGAACGAAAAGACTTTTTGTTCAACATTGGCACGATCCCATCCTGAAAGTGATAGTGGGAATGTTTGCACGTATCTGGTAATTACGCGAATGTTCTGGACTTACATTGCTTGCGTGTATAAATGGTTGCGGACCGAACATCGCGGCAGTTTTACTACCGAACGAGATCGAGTACAGATGAAACATAGAGCGCCGAAATATAAATTGCGAAGTGTGTGATATAAATAGTCGATATAAATTGTACGGTTTTTATAGTGTTTTAGTTTTGTTTAATAAATATTGATATAAATCGAACCCGAATTTATAAATCACGTTACATTGGTGTCAGGAGTGGAATTAATTTAATTAATTAAAAGTAAGATTAAATTAAGTGCTTGTGCTTGTGTATGCCTGTAACAAGATCTGCTGCCGCTAAAATGGAAGAAACGATGCCCAATTTGCTCCAGCAAATCCAAAATGGCCAACATGTGTTGCAACAAGAAATAAAAAGCAACCAAGAGAAGTTGGAAGAAAATTCTAGAAATATTCAAGAGAAGTTCGAGAAGTTGGAAGAAAATTCTAGAAAGATTAATGAAGAAAATTCTAGAAATATTCAAGAGAAGTTCGAGAAGTTGGAAGAAAATTCTAGAAATTTTGAAGAGAAGTTCGAGAAAATGGAAGAAAATTCTAGAAATATTCAAGAGAAGTTCGAGAAGTTGGAAGAAAATTCTAGAAAGATTAATGAAGAAAATTCTAGAAATATTCAAGAGAAGTTCGAGAAGTTGGAAGAAAATTCTAGAAAGATTATCGAAGAAAAAGTTGAAGATTAGAATTACGGAAGTTTCCAAAACATTTAAAGCAACATTCGTTGAGATTGAGCACAAGTATGAAGAGCTGCGCGAGCAATTCTTGCGACTGACTACGGAAGAGCGTACTAGTAGTGCCCCAGATGAATTACTGATGGACCGTCTTCTTGAGGTGCCACAGTCTACTCATTACAAGAAGGTCGACCCAGAAACAAATACAAGAGTAGAAGGCGACGTTCAGCAAGCCCGAGTAAAGCCACCTACTTTTGATGGTAAGATTCCTTGGACCACGTACGTTCGACAGTTTGAAGCAGCGGCTGCGGCAAATAAATGGACTCTTCAAGAT